AGTCGAAGCTACAAATGGTGCTTTCAGAATTTGAAGCTCTTAGAATGAACGAAACGGAAACTATCTCAGTCTTTCACAGTCGGGTTCAGAATCTGATGAATAGAGCCTCAATTCTTGGTGAACCATTCACTGATGAGAGAGTAGTCAAAAAGATCCTTCGATCTTTGCCTAAACGCTTCCGGATGAAAGTAACTGCTATCCAGGAACACACAGGCTGGGAAAAGAAGACTGTAGGAGAACTTATGGGAAGTTTACACACATATGAACTTGAAGTGCTGGCTGATGATGACCTTGCTGTCAACAAAAAAGGCAAGTCAGTGGCTTTTGCGGCTGAAGCTGATCGAGAATCTGACACAGACGACATAGATGATGAAACATTGGACCTTCTAACCAAGAATTTTAAGAAAATATTGAAAGGATTTAACAAAAAGAGTCAAGGACAATCTACCAGGACTCAATACAAAGGCAGCAACTCCTCATATCAGAAAGCAGAAACCTCACCTTTCTCACAGAACAATCAATCCCAAACTGGCCGAACAAGACAAAACAGAAACAGTTCCACAGATACAGGGAGATCCCTCAATCGGTCAGTGCAGTGTAGAGAGTGTGAAGGTTTTGGACACATATAGGCTGAATGTGCAACTTATCTCAAGAGGAAGAAGGCTATGTCTGTGGCTACGCTAAGTGATGATGAGGAGGAAGCATCTAATGATCAATCAGATGACAATGTGGGAAACTTTGTAGCCTTCTTTACAGCTACAGAGAATCAGTCAGACGAAAACGAATCCGATGGAGAATCTTATATATCAACAGATGATTTTGAAGAGAGGCATACTCAACTTGAAATGGAATTTGCCAAACTTGTTGCAAGCTGGGAACAACTAGTGAAAGTCAATAAAAATCTGAATGACGAACTGAAGCAAAGGGATGATCTTCTGAAGAAACTGAATACAGATCTTGTCATAAAAGAAGATCTTATCACACAGATAAGATCTCGAGAAGGAAAACTGGTAAAGGAATTGGAAGATCTGAAGAAGAATATCAAGATGATGGATACCACATCAGCGTTAGACAAAATTCTGGACTCTGGTAGAAATCCAAATGATAAAAAGGGTCTTGGATTTAAACGAGGAGAATCTTCGAATAGTGTCCCTATGTTCATCAAAGAGGGTATGTCAACTGCTACATCAGTTCACAATTTTGAACGAGGACAGTCATCCCGGTCAGTTCAGAAAAATGAAAGAAGGAAGGTATATGATCGAACTGCAGATACTGACTTCGGCAGAGTAGCACCTCAATCTCAATACTCAAAGTTCAAAAATAAGTTTGTCAGAGTTAGACAATACACTCCCATTTGCCACTACTGCCAAACAAAAGGTCACACTCGACCTGAATGTTACTCCTTTTACAAAGATCAAAGAAAGGAAAAATATCAGAACAAGACTATTACAGCGTTCACGAGACAGGTTTGGGTCAGAAAGTCAGAAGTTATATGCTATCCCACTATAGTTCTGAGTGCTTCTACAACTGAAGCTAGATGGTATTTCGACAGTGGCTGTTCCAGGCATATGACTAGAAATATAAAGTGCCTTATGGCTGTTCAATCTAGCAGTGGATCTGTTACATATGGCGACGGGCAAAAAGGCAAAATAGTTGGAAAAGGTACCATGAATGTACTAGGTTTACCTCACTTAGAAGAAGTTTTGTTAGTCAGTGGTCTGAAAGCAAATCTGATTAGCATCATCAGTTGTGTGATCAAAACTGGAATGTGTGCTTCGATCGTAACTGTTGCAGAGTCAGCGACAAAGCAGATCAATTAGTCATGGAAGGAACACGATCCTCAGACAACTGTTATGTTTTGACAAACGAAAATGCTTGTCACCTATCAAAATCTGATGAATCAGAACTCTGGCATAGACAACTGGGTCACATAAACTTCAGAGATATGGATAAACTGTTCAAACTAGAAGCTGTGAGAGGAGTACCTAAGATCAGAATTGAACAGGAGAGAGTATGTGGTGCATGTGCCATTGGGAAACAGATAAGGACTCCTCACAAAGCCGTAAGAGTTATCACTACAGAGAAATATCTAGAGCTTGTTCACATAGACCTCATGGGGCCAACTCAGACTGAAAGCATTGGCGGAAACAAATACATATTTGTGTGTGTAGATGATATCTCTTGGTATAACTGGGTATACTTCCTAAGAGAAAAATCTGAAGCCTTCAATGCCTTTAGAACCTTGTGCATAAGGGTTCAAAAGGAAAAGAACGAGCCTATAATAAAAATTCAGAGACTGAGAAGTGATCATGGAAAAGAATTTGAAAACTCTCTATATTCATATTTCTGCTCCGAGAATGGAATATCACATGAATTCTCAGCTCCTAGAACAGCCCAACAGAATGGGGTGGTGGAAAGAAAGAATCGGACCTTGCAGGAAATGGCTAGAGTTATGTTACATGCTTCTCACCTGCCACAACGCTTCTGGGCTGAAGCAGTTCACACAGCCTGTCATACAGTGAATAGAGTATATCTTAGACCAGGAACGACCACAACACCATATGAGATCTGGAAGGGAAAGAAGCCAAACTTGAAGTACTTTCATGTGTTTGGGACAAAGTGCTATGTGCTGATTGATAGGGAACAAAGAGGGAAGTTTGAACCTAAGAGCGATGAGAACATCTTTCTTGGATATTCTCCAAACAGTCGAGACTATAGAGTCTATAACAAGAGAACTCAATCTGTAATGGAATCAGTAAATGTTGTTATAGACGACAATCCAGACGAATCAACTGAAACAACGGTGACTGATCTAGAGACAGATCTTCCTGTCAGTGAACTGAATACTGCCGATGACAACAGTCAGCCCAAAACACAAGAATCCTCAGATGAAGATCAAGAAAGTTCTGAACAGGATACCATTCTTATTGATGATACGGGTAAAGACAAACCCACCAGAACTCAGAAAAATCACCCGTAAGATAACATCATTGGTGATCCAACAGATGGGATGAAGACCAGGAGCAGAGTAAGAAATACTCTGATAGAAATATCCGAATTTGCTTGCTATACCTCAAAGATAGAACCAAGAAATGTAAAAGAAGCTTTATAGGATGATCTGTGGATCAAGGCAATGCAAGAGGAGCTACACCAATTTGACCGAAATCATGTTTGGGATCTAGTACCAAGACCTGATCGTGTCAACATAATTGGGACAAAGTGGATCTTCAAAAATAAAACTGATGAAGCTGGGAATATTGCAAAGAACAAAGCTCGGTTAGTGGCACAGGGATACACTCAGATAGAAGGAATTGACTATGATGAAACGTTTGCACCTGTGGCGAGATTAGATTCAATCAGAATTCTGTTGGCAGTCGCATGCATTCTGGAATTCACACTGTTTCAGATGGATGTTAAGACAGCGTTTTTGAATGGATATCTGCATGAAGATATCTATGTGGCACAACCTAAAGGCTTTGAAGATCCAGATTATCCATCCCATGTCTACAAACTTAGAAAAGCTCTCTATGGCCTTAAACAAGCCCCACGAGAATGGTACGAACGTCTGACACAGTATCTGCTACAGCACGGTTATAAACGAGGAAGTGTCGACAAAACATTGTTTGTAAAAGCCACTGGAGGTTATGTCACCATTGCACAGATCTATGTGGATGACATTGTGTTTGGATCTACTTTACAAAAATACACTGATGAGTTAGTAAAGGTCATGAAGGAAGAATTTGAGATGTCCATGGTTGGTCAACTGACATATTTCCTAGGGCTGCAAGTTAAGCAAAGCCCTGAAGGGTACTTTATCTCACAAGAAAAAGTATGCTAAGAATTTAGTCAAGAAGTTTGACCTGGAATCGTGCAAACCATCCAGGACACCGATCTCTACCTCCACAAAAGTATCTAAAGATGACACAGGTGTATCAGTGGATAACACAGTCTACCGAAGTCTAATAGTTAGTCTACTTTACTTGACAACTCGTCGACCAGACATAATGTTCAGTGTTGGAATATGTGCAAGGTATCAATCTGATCCAAAAGAATCACACCTGATATCTGCTAAGCGTATTCTGAAATATATAAAAGGAACAATTCAATATGGGTTGTGGTACTCCAAGGACAGTGAACTGAGTCTGGTTGCTTATTGTGATGCTGACTGGCAGGAAATATTGATGACCGAAAGAGTACTTCTGGAGGATGCTTCTTTGTTGGTAAAAACTTGGTATCGTGGCTGAGTAAGAAACAAAATTCAATTTCCTTAAGTACTGTAGAGGCAGAATACATAGCTGCTGGTGGATGTTGTACTCAGTTAGTATGGATGAAAAAGATGCTTTTAGATTATGGTCTTACTCAAGGAATTATGACACTCTACTGTGATAATGTCAGTGCTATCAATATCTCAAAGAATCCAGTTCAACACTCCAGAACGAAGCATATTGATATAAGACATCACTGCATCAGAGACTTGGTAGAATCAAAAGAGATTGAGTTGGAGTATATTCAAACAGATAAGCAATTGGCTGATATTCTGACTAAGCCCCTAGATGCAAATCGGTTTGAGATTCTCAGATCTGCTCTGGGAATCTGCAGGATTGATTAATAAGGCAGTAAGCTATACAGAAGGAGAGTATATGGTATTAAGTTTCCCGGTCAATAACCAGCTTTGACTTCCTTTTAAAACTCTCTTCTATTTTGTTAAGAGAATATCTTAACCTATATTACCATAAAGTAATTCGCCTTTTTCAAATTTTAAATCCTCTCCGCATCCGTTTCCTGCCTAAAAAGAAGGCATACCGTTGCGTCAATCACATCGGCTCTGCATGTAATCTGACTAGCTGCATTTATTAGGGTACTTCGCCCTTGGGTCTATATTTGAGTATCGGGTCAGGCTTGGAAGAACGAAGAAGTTCAAAATATCTCTACCCACCGATTGATTTATCTCTGCTCTTCTACCTAGGGTTTTTTTCTCCACTTTCCAAAATTTCATATCAATGGCGGATGCAGTTCGTAACATTATCATCAAGCTTGGGAGAAAGGTTCGTTCACAAGAGACAGGCACCAAGCATGTCAAAACACTGCTCCAGTTAGCTATGAAGAAGAAGTTGAAGCTTGATCCCCTTCTTCGTGATGAAATTATGGTCACAGTGATGTCGGATTATCCAGAGTTCTACGCCGACTGGTCCGAAGATGATACCAGTGAGCTCCTGTTGCTGGCCTCCGAAGCTAGTGATGAGATTTCCCCAGCATCTATCCCAGAGCCCTCAGATGGAAATCGGGCCGGGGCGTTTCTCCAATATTTTGCACAAAGGGCTCTTGAGTCAGAAGAGATCTCCCGTCGTAGAGCAATTGCACAACCCCTATACCTACAGGCTGCCGAGAATGAAGCCAGACACCGAATGGAGATTCTCCGTAACAGGTCAAATACTTCTGATTCTCCTATTGAAATTTCTCCTGATAAGCCTGATGATTTTGTATCTGCTGATATTCCGTCTGCTGTGCCTACTGTGTCTGATAATGTGAATGCGTTATTATCTGTGAAATCATCTGTGTCTGATGATCCCCCATGCATCCCCTCTATGAAGCCTGGGCCTTTGAAGGAAGTTGTTGATGTTGTGTATGATGAGAAAGATAAACCCTCTGAGGAGACCAACAATCTAAGTTTGGTTGTTTACTCGGCTGATAATGTTGCTCTGCCTCCTTCTGCGATTGCTGATGTTCCACATGAGATCTGTCCCTCTGATAATCTCTCTGGTTTGCCTGCTGAGTTGAGACTGTTAAACACTTAAGCACCCTTGCATCTGAAAGAATAGATGGAGTCCCAGTCTACACCTCCACATCTTTGGCTGAAAGTCTTGAACATGTCCGGCATTTTGCTGGGTTACCTGCTGCCTCCATTCCAGAACCATACCGTGTGATTCATCCTTCTGAGTCCTCAAGTGAAGATGAAAAGATCCTTGCTAAAGTCTATGACACTCAAGCTCATGCATCTAAGCCCCCGACTGTTGAGGCTATTGCACATCCTGATTCCACCACCTTCAAAATTAGAGAAGTAACAAATCTTCTTGGAAGTTATTCTGCCCATGTTCCTGATTCCAGTCACTCTGTGTCTCCTGTTCATTCTCCATCCAAGGAGACGAGAAGATCAAAACGAAAGAATGTTCCTGTGAAGGTTGTTGTTGAGACGGGTGATGACAATGCTGATGTAGATCAGCCTGAGAAGAGAAGAAAGTCCATTGAGTCTATGGAACCTGAAGCTAATCCTCCAATTCAACAAGTGTTCAAGACACTACGGTCGTCTGTTAAGCAAAAAGGTCCTGCTGCTGTTGTTCCCACATCATCTACCAGAAAGGGGAAACCATCTACTCGTTCCAAAGGTCGAAGTATCACTCATGAGGTTCAACCTGTTGTAAGTACTGACACATCTATTTACAAGCCTCAGTTTGTTACCTCCACTGCTCAAGGTAAATGGTCCACCATGATCAGGAGAGATCTTATTGTTCAACGGTCTGTTGATGAAAACCATATGAATTCAGTCTGCGACATTCTGCCACTGCTGAGTGAAGTGCGCTTGCTGAAGACTGTCTCCTCTATTTGTCCTTATTCGATGCTCCACACGTATGAATTCTACTGTAATCTCAGTGAAGAGATAGACAATCTGACTGGGCCACGACTAATGCAAATCTTCATTCGAGGTAAATGGTACGTCTTTGGCCCTGACATGATCAATGAATACTATGGCTTGACAGCGGTGCACGAAAAAGCAATCACTAACTGGGATTCAATGGCCAAGACCCTAACCGGTGGACAGACTGATACATGGCCTTCTGGTGACAAGGATCATCTACCCAGCTCTCAGCTCACATCCAAATACGTCATATTGCATCATCTTGCGCTTCACAACTGGCTTTCATCGGCCCATTTCCATACGGTGGGCAAGCAATTGGCAGGTCTCTTGTTTCGAATTGGAACAAAAATGGCGTTTGATTTGGGGGCCTGGATTTATAATCATATCCTCACCTTGATCCATCCACGAGAACAGAAGGTAAGGCTACCCTTCCCTAATCTAATTTTTGGAGTACTAACAGCTCAGGGCCTTGAGCCAATGCCTAGTGAGGTGATAAGCCCGACTCTTCTTTACACTGTTGACCGTCGTCTTTTGACTGGAGACCAAATTTGTGATGTTACACCGGTGATTGCTCCCTCCAATTCTGAAGTTGAGACAGTGGCTAATGATTCGCAACATGCAAGGGATCTCCAACTTTCTATTCAGTTGAAGGCAAGGGTCTCTGAGCTTGAGACAGTTCACGGCATAATTGCGAAGCAGCTGAAAGGGGCTCGTACTGAATTGTCCACCATTCTTCTTCGTTTAAGCTTGTCTAAATCTGCTGTTGCTGAACCTGCGAAGTCTGACAGTGAGACTCCCTCCAATGCTTGACCATGCTTTGGCTATCATTGGCAAAAAGGGGGAAGTTTTATGTGATTTTGTGTACCTTCTGGCCCTGGCTGGGCGTTGATTGTGATGGCACCACCTTTTTGTTTGAAGAATGTTTATGACTGATGTTTTGATCCAGCATGTCTTGTATGCTGTGTTTTATTTCTGCTATGCTTTGTAATCAGATATTTGGTTTGGTTTTTATGCTAGCCTATCTTAGTTCTTTCAGTTATGTCTTTATACGTAGTCGAGTTGTTTTGACAAATAATAGCCAAAGGGGGAGTTTGTTAGTGTTTTAATTGCTCAAAACCCCCAACTTATAATTGGCAATATTATTATGGCAAACTAAGATAGGATTAGCTTAGTGTCGGTTTTGTTCTACAGAGGACTGATCAATCAGATACAACAACAGAGGGACTGACACTGAAGATCTGTTTTAGGAAGCTGTTTCCTTAAAGGCTGTACGCGGTTTAAAGAAGACAGAATTGGAAAGAAGATCAACATATCTGTCTTGTAAAGGTATGGACCGAATCTCTAAGATTACATTCTTCAAATATTGTCCTACCATCTACAATCAAAGATATCTATGGAGAGTGTTCTTACTATGGAACTATAAGTACTCTTATTCGACAAGAATTAGGGTTACGCTTTCAAGAAGGAAGAAACACTCCAAAACAGTTTTATGATATCAGATCTTTGATTATCATGCCTCTTCTCAATATAACATGTTCATGGTGATTATGATGAAAAACTTGAGAAGAATTATTTTTGCTTAAACGAAAGGGCGCTACGATCACACTGTTGTGGGAACAACCGAGAAGAGCGTTATTGAAGTGGACTGCATCAGAGTTGGATCTCCATGTGAAGGGATTTCATTGAACTTCTGTATGCATGGCTCTCCATCTTCAACCATCCACTAAACCTGTGTAGACTGGGTACGTACCTTGTGTGGGACACTTGGGTGAGATTATTGTTTCTCTACCTTTGTACATTGGATTATGATTTAGTGGATTGGACGCTTATGTGATCGTCCCCCAGACGTAGATACACACTGTATCGAATTGGGTAAACATCTTGTGTGTTGCTTTGTGTTGTTATCTCTTTCTATAAACATCTCAATAATCTGCCTTATTGACTGACTTCATCGTTGAATTAGTCAGTCCATTTCATCAGTTGGATAATCCAGTTAATTTGATTAAAAATGAAGAATTGCAAAATTACAGTTTGATCCAAGGAATCTATACTCATGTGGATCATGTTGTCAACACTAGTACTGGAAAGTTTGAAGAATCATTTGTTGATAATCAAAAGAGTCAACAATGTTTGATTGACACACACCAATCCTTGGAGAGACAAATTTGTGGTTTGAATGCCAATGTCAAAGGTGTGCTCAATGAATTCTTTCTTCAACTTTCTCAAGCCCTCTAGAATGATAGGCAAGCCAGTGAAGTGGTCTCCGTGAACCAAAGCAAGGGAATTCTCAAAGTAGTTCATCAACAGGAGAATCAACTTAGAGATGTCTACACAGATATTGACTCCATCAACACCAAAGTTGGATGTCTTCGTGGTTCCTATAACATCATTGCACAGTCTGTTTCTTCCCTTAGAGCATCTGTTCATGAGTTGGTTGATTACGCCAAAAAGGGGAAGAGATATTCAGTCGTTTGGAAGAAATGATGGAAGGCATCATGACTGCCATAGCTACCAAAAATGTTGGTGCAAGCAGCAGTAGAGGAGGCAGATCTGGCAGAAGCAATATTGCAAGAAAATGAGGACTAGAATATTGGTTTGGTGATGCAAGCAGTCCAGGAGGTTCTAGTAGTACTAACAATGCAAATAGAACTTTTCGTGACATTATTTGTGCAGGTGGAAATCATGAGCAAATCAATTGGTACAACAAAGTAGCTCTCTATTTGGAATCTACACCAAGAGATGGCAGAGTTGAAATGCCAAGAATGGTAAATCTAAATGATCTACCAAAAGGAATGAAGAAGAGTGGTCCTAGTGATCAAAATATGTGGATCTCAAGTGAGAACTTCAGACGCATCAAAGCTATGCAAGGTCCATTATGATGATGGTGCTTCTAGACTACATCAAGGTGAATGATGCAAAACTACAAGGAGATAGAAGTCTAGAAGAATGCATAGTATGGTATGAGCAGAATATACCGCCCGGAGACAACATCATTGAAGCCTTCAACTATTATGTGATTGGGCAGGTATGCAAAGACTATGCAATTAGCAACAATTTTATTGATGTTAAAAATCATGTTAACCGCATGCTGGAAGAAAGGAGGAACAAGATAATCAAGTAATTTGTAATTGTTGAACAATGTTTTGCTTGATCTACAAACTCCAAAGTATGATCATGAACAATTTGCTATGATATTTTGATCAACTATCTGATTATGATGCTTATAGTATTTTATCTATTGTTATTTTAATTTGTCCTAAAAGGTAAATTTTTAGCTTAGCTTGTACAAATCGCATAATTGGAAAAATTGCAAAAGTCATTAATATTAAAGTCCAAAAATGCGAATAGGAAATTTTTTGCTAAAAATACATTTCCTATAGTTAAAATCAATTGTTAAACTCATCATGGCTATGTCAAATTTAATAAAATCTTTTGAAAATTTTACTTTTAAAAGACAAGCCAAATGACTGAGTATAGGTTTTGGCGTCATCAAAAAGGGGGAAAATTGATAGGAATATTTTTGTAATAAGGTTTTGATGAGCCAAATGTACTTTAGATCCCCTTAGAAATTAGGTCTTTAGTACAAGCATCATAATTCAGTATATCAAGTCAGTATGCAAAGGAAAGACTACCACATGACCTACAAGAAAAATCGCGATTCGCGATTAAAATATTCCGTTGCAATAACGTGAAATTCCGTTGCGAATCGTGTTTTTCTACGAAATTTTACATTTTCGCGACAGAATTCATTTCGTAGCCTCCAGGCTGGTCGTATTTCATTTCGCGACGGAAATAATTCGTCGCGAGCGGTGGCGACGGAAAATAGCAACGGAATTTTCTGTTGCGAAGTAGGCAACGGAAATTATTCTGTTGCGAGTCCGTCACGGTTTAAACAACGGAAATGTTTCTTTCCGTCGTCATTGCGTGAAAAAATATTTCGTCGCAAGAATTATACTCTGTCACATATTTCCATCTTGAAATATAACGACAGAAATAATTGTCGTCATGATTCCGTCGTTAAACTTTTTGTTGCAAATTTCGTCTTCCGTCACAAATTCCGTCGCGTTCTGGGTGACAAAAATCTTTCCGTCACCAATTTCATCAAAATCTATACTATATATAATAACAAAATCCTGAAATTTTAACTTCTCGCCCAATTCCTAAAAAATCTCTCTTCCTAATAAAATATATTGATTACTACTATCCCACTCGTACAATAATTCTGCGTTAAAATTCTATTGTAACATTATAAAATAGTGTAATACAATTCCAATTGTAATCCATCAATCTATACTTCTATACTATATATAATAACAAAATCCTGAAATTTTAACTTCCCACCCAATTCCAAAAAAATCTCTCTTCCTAATAAAATATATTGATTTCTACACTCCTATTCGTACAATAGTTCTGCGTTAAAATTCTATTCAAATATTATAAAATAGTGTAATACAATTCCTATTGTAATCAATCAATCTTTACTATATATATAACAACAAAATCATGAAATTTTAACTTCCCACCCAATTCCTAAAAAATATCTCTTTCTAATAAAATATATTGATTTATACTATCTCATTCGTACTATAATTCTGCGTTAGAATTGTATTCTAATATTATAAAATAGTGTAATACAATTCCTATTGTAATCAATCAATCTATACTATATATAGTAACAAAATCCTGAAATTTTAACTTTCCGCCCAATTCCTAAAAAAATCTCTCTTCCTAATAAAATATATTGATTTCTACTTTCCCATTCGTACAATAATTCTGCGTTAAAATTCTATTCTAATATTTTAAAATAATGTAATACAATTCCTATTGTAATCAATCAATCTATACTATATAAAATAACAAAATTCTGAAATTTTAACTACCCGCCCAATTCCAAAAAAATCTCTCTTCCTAATAAAATATATTGATTTCTACTATCCCACTCGTACAATAATTCTGAGTTAAAATTCTATTCTAACATTATAAAATAGTGTAATACAATTCCTTTTGTAATCCATCAATCTATACTTCTTTACTATATATAATAACAAAATCCTGAAATTTTAACTTCTCGCCCAATTCCTAAAAAATCTCTTTTCCTAATAAAATATATTGATTTCTACTTTCCCATTCGTACAATAATTCTGCGTTAAAATTGTATTCTAATATTATACTGGGATTATCTTTGGATTATACAGTGAATTGAATGTGACTTATTTGGATGAAACAGTCTACAGTTTAATAGTCTAATAGTATTATGATGGACTATACTGGGATTATCTTTGGATGAAACAGTTTACAGTTTTGACTCCTCTTACAGTGAATTGAATGTGACTTATTTGGATGGAGCTACGATTCGTTGGCCATGGTAATTCAAATAACTCTAATGCTTAGTGTTTTGTCAAACTGATATACTATGGGCTCTTTATAAATAAAAATGTTGTTTATTTCTTTCTATTTGCCCAAAGTATAGATGTCTTAGATTTTGCCAATTAAATTGCCAAAGGGGGAGATTGTAAGTGTACAAATGATACACATTAAACCCGTTTAAATTGGCTAATTTAATTGACAAAATAATTAGAGCATTTATTTGAAATTAACATATGGACCATGGACCGTCTCCTATCAGAAGGTATGATTTTTCTACACTATAGTTTCAAATTGGAGGCTTTCGAAATTATGAAGAAGAATATTGATTATGGACATTGGTGTTAATCAGTTATGAAGAATTAACGTGTGGCCATGGTCTTTTGGGTGGTATGCTAATTATGGACTTCATCTCTGCATGGGAAAATTAATGTGTGGCTGTAATT